GCCTTCATTAAAGGACTGGCCATAGGGCGCCTGGGTGGCTCAGTGGGTTAAAGCCTCTGCCTTCGGCTGGGGTCATGATCTCAAGGTCCTGGGATCGAGCCCCGCATTGGGCTCTCTGCTCAGCAGGGAGCCTGCTTCCTCCTCTCTCTCTGCCTGCCTCTCTCTCTACTTGTGATCTCTGTCTGTCAAATAAATAAATAAAATCTTAAAAAAAAGGATTGGCCAGAGATCACTATACCTCAGTCACGTTTAGTAAACATAGCTTTTCTGCATGGTTGCCATTAATGTAAATAAACTACAGGGTTAATGGTTTTTAACAGTTAAAAACTTCTAAGGCACCTGTTGTTTGAAGCTCTTGATGAGTGTAAAAACAATTCAACTCAGAAATCAAATTCTGAACCTTGAATAAGAGCAATTCCTGCCACTGCAGACAGAGTCTGTATTTTGTATACGGCAGTTTGTAGAAGACATTCATTATATAGTTCTCTCACTAAGTACTTGGCTTTGGTCATTTTTATGTATGAATCATAGCCTTTCAGAAGGGCTCAACAACATTTGTACATAGCCCACATTTTTTTTCACAGTACCTTTGTTTGAGGTATAATTTATATACAGTAAAATGCACAGATTTAAAATGGAGAGTTTGGGGGTGGCTAGGTGGCTCAGTTGAGCATCTGATTCTGGATTTTGGCTCAGGTCGTGATCTCGGTGTCCTTGGATCAAGCCCCCCTTGTAAGATTCCCCATTCAGCAGGAGTCTGCTTATCCCCCTCTCTCTCTGCCATTACCCCTGCTCTCTCTTGCTCTCTGTCTTGCTCTCTCCCTCATTCTCTCTGAAATAAATCTTTAAAATGAGAGTTTGATGTTTTGAGAAGGCAGATCATTGTTAACTACACCTTAATCAAGATATAGAACATTTTCTTCAGTATAAAAAGTCACCATTTTGAATTCTGTGATCAAAGATTACCTATTTTAGAACTTTATATGAGGGAATCCTATAATATGTACTCTTTCACACAGGACTGTTTTTAGTTATGATTATGCATGAGTTCAGCCGTTGTTTTAAGATACTGTATGTAACATATTTTGGAGATAACAAGTAATATGGTTAAGGAAAGTAATTTATGAGCTTTCAAGTTCTAATCATTTCATTACTAGTTATTATGACACATAAATTCGTCTTTTTTATATTTTAAAATGGCACATAATTTGGAATTTACATTTCACTTCATTCATTCATTCATGTCCATTGAGGGATTTTATTTGGATGTATACATTATATCCCTAGAAAAAGAATCCCAGGATTTTCCCTCCTGTGTGTTTTCATCTTGCTTCTTGATAGTCCATGATGCCAGCTGAGTTTGTGAGGACAATGAAACCAAACTGATGGGACAGGAACATTATTCTGCCATGTTTCTAGATCTTTCAGTTATACATCAGATCTGGGGCTGATCATACGTGTTTAACCTTCCCATGAGGTTTACAGCAATTTTCCCAGCTCTGTGATCATCAGTCATTTCTATCACCCATGTAACCCTGCTTCGTCATCACAGTTAGAAACTGAATGAGGACTCTGGAGCATGGCCTAATAAGAACTCAGCACTGTTAATGCTCTTGAGAGCATCAGCCAGGCCATTCACAGGCACCGCTGTGGCAGCCCGGAAGGATGGGGGAGAGCCGTATTTCACTAAATAAAACCAGATCTTGGTTTCCAGGCAGAAGACAGATGTGAAGCATTGTAGTCTTTGTGTTTAGATAAAGACTTCTTGCTAAGAGTAAGTAAAATCTTACTTTATGGAATTTGTTTTTGGTAGACTCCTTAGGTTTATTAGTTTGGGTTTTTGTTGTAAAGGAAACTAGAAACTGCACATGAAAGACTACTGGGTGTACTAGGCTTAGTTTACTTCATTTGATCTTTATAGCACCGTCAAGTTAGATACTACTATTCCCATTTTACTGACAAGAAAAAGACTCATAGAGGTGAAATGGCTTTTCCTTGGGTACAGAGTAAGTGATGGCACTCCGTATGACCTCAGAACTCTCCCTCCAGCTCTCAGCCCCCCTGCACTGCTTCCAAGCTCCATGGTATCTGCATAATTTAGGATTTGGGCAAGTACCTAAGTAGAATTTTTACATAGATTTCTGGAGCTCCTCATTTTCAAATTCCTGCTTTCTAGACTCTACCTCTTTAGATTCTAGGTCCCTTATTCCAAGGCCCAAACTCTCTTTTTCCACATACGAAGAACAATACCTGTTCAAGCTCTGCCTTGGAAATTGTGTCCTCCCGAAATGGGGTGAGTGGAAAACTCACCTTAAGTGTTTGCTTTGTTCATGGATCTCTGCCCTGTGCTATTTGTTGCCCAATGCCCACTTTCATAATCTATGGAAGGAAGACAGGTATACTAGTACCGTACCTCATGTTATTTTTAAGTTTTATTTTTTAAGTTATCTCTACACCCAATGTGGGGCTGAAACTCAGTGACCCTGAGGTCGAGAGTCACACAGTCTTCAGACTAAGCCAGCCAGGCACGCCAGTTCCTCCTATTTTTTTTTTTTTTTTAAAGATTTTATTCATTTGACAGACAGAGATCACAGGTAGGCAGAGAGGCAGGCAGAGAGAGAGGAGGAAGCAGGCTCCATGCCGAGCAGAGAGCCCGACGTGGGGCTCGATCCCAGGACCCTGAGACCATGACCTGAGCCGAAGGCAGAGGCTCAACCCACTGAGCCACCCAGGCGCCCTATTTTTTTTTCTTTTAAAAGATTTTATTTAGGGGCGCCTGGGTGGCTCAGTGGGTTAAGCCGCTGCCTTCGGCTCGGGTCATGATCTCAGGGTCCTGGGATCGAGTCCCGCGTCGGGCTCTCTGCTCGGCAGGGAGCCTGCTTCCCTCTCTCTCTCTCTCTCTGCCTGCCTCTCCATCTACTTGTGATCTCTCTCTCTGTCAAATAAATAAATAAAATCTTTAAAAAAAAAAAAAGATTTTATTTATTTATTTGACAGAGAGGCAGGCAGAAAGAGAGGGGGAAACAGGCTCCCTACTGAGCAGAGAGCCCGATGCGGGGCTCGATCCCAGGACCCTGGGATCATGACCTGAGCCGAAGGCAGAGGCTTTAAAACCCACTGAGCCACCCAGGCGCCCCAGTTCCTCCTATTTTTAAACAAACATTTGATCATATTTTTCTTGGAGACTTGACTCAGTGACACAATTCTTTGCAGCACCTTTCCCATTCTATAACAATTAATTTTCAGTTATTCCGTGTTTTTAACCGACTGAGCCACCCAGGCACCCCCTATTCCATGTTTTTAAAAGATAACTATTGTGATGGTTAAAACAAAAATATATGAAACAATGATATTATAATCTGTTTCTCTCAAGTACCTAAAAGTAATATGGCACACATGGGGCCAGTGATAAATGTTTCCACATGGTAATAAGACATCTGTTTTGGGTTTTCTTGTTTAACATAGTTCCATAGAATTATTTCTGTGTATTGATGATTAATTTTAGGTATTGAGCTTTAGATTCTAAGTAGTTCTGTAAAGATCATGGTATGTTGTCATACTGCTTCCCCCAAAGAATAAACTAGTTAATTCCTTTATTCTTCCCCCATATCTAATTGCTGAGTAGCTCTGTGTTACAGTTCAAGATTTATTTTTTTCCATTGTTATTTATAAAAGTTTTAAAATAGTTTGAATCTGTTTTTTAACATTATAGGTTTCCCCCAATACCTGGAAGTAGAGCATTTCTAGGAAACCTTTCATTATCTGAAACAGCATAAAGCCAAGAAGTACCATTTACCTTTAATTTATATGGAAAATTTCTGAACATCCCAGATGACAAAAGTAACCACTTGGGATTTTCTGGTACCTTAGTACACAACTTGCTAGCAGATACACAAAATAAATCGAGATAAAACACAGATGCTCACAGTTCAGAAATATGGCAGCAGGATGTTGAGACGCCAAGGAAGGAGCCTAGCCGTGCCTCTGTAACAGCCTTTGCAAAACACACACTGAACGTTATTTCTGGGTTTTGCCTTATTTTCATAAAACTGTAAATCCTCTTCAGAGTTCTTTTGGTTATTAAAAACAGGTGCTGCTAGTGTAGGTTTTTGGTACAAAGCAGAATGACCTAACACAAACTTCTGAAAAGCATGAGGATATTTGTATTCAGTTTATTCTTTTAATTCTTTATTTTTTTAAGATTTTATTTATTTGATAGACAGAGATCACAAGTAGGCAGGGAGGCAGGCAGACAGGAGGAAGCAGGCTCCCCGTGGAGCAGAGAGCCCGATGTGGGGCTCAATCCCAGGATCCTGGGATCATGACCTGAGCCGAAGGCAGAGGCTTTAACCCACTGAGGTGCCCCAAGAGGGAAAATTTTAAAAAATAGAAAAATAAAAATAAAAGAATTTAACGTTGAAAGACTAAGGAATCATGGGAAAAAGCCATAAATTCTTTATTTATTTAAACAACTACATCATTGGAGCGCCTGGGTATCTCAGTCAGTTAGGTCTCCAACTCTTGATCTTGGCTTGGGTCATGATCTCGAGGTCGTGGGGACGAGCTCCGTGCTAAGCATGGAATCTGCTTGTCCCTCTCTTCCTGCTCTTCCTCCCGTTCCGGCACTCACTCTCTCTCTCTCTAAAATAAAAAACTGCATTGTTACTTGTTACGTAGAACAATCTGGTAGGAAGATATATTTAATTAAAAAAGATGCAAAAATGTATTGTGCTACCTGCCGTTGATGTAAATACACACTTACAGACATGTCTGTAAGTTGATGGTCACCTCAGGGTGATACTCAGGCCATCTCTGGAGAGAGACTAGAAGGTAGGCATTTGAGGGAGACTTCACAGCACACCTTTTGATGTTCTGTGTTCGTGTATATGTGTGCTGGGTATGTTCACTGATAGTAAAGATAATATATAATTGAAATAAATCTGGTAAGATGTTTCTATCATATTATTCCTTTCAACTTTAAAATTTTTTCATTTTTGTAGGTAATCCATACAGTGTTCTCTTAATAGGTAAGTGCTTTTTCCTCAACATTTTTTGGAGAATACTCCATACCAGTATATAAAACTGCCTTGTTTGGGGCGCCTGGGTGGCTCAGTGGGTTAAAGCCTCTGCCTTCAGCTCAGGTCATGATCTCAGGGTCCTGGGATCGAGCCCCGCATCAGGCTCTCTGCTCAGCGAGGAGCCTGCTTCTCTGACAACTTGTAATCTCTATCAAATAAATAAATATTTTAAAAAAATAAAACTGCCTTGTTTTTGAAAGTTGCATGATATTTTTATGTAGAGATGTGTCTCATACTTAATTAAGCTCTTATGGATGGAATTTTAGGCTTTCCTAATTGTTTGCTATTTAATGCTACAGTCAGTACTCTTTTACATAATTCTTTTTGTAGATTTATGAATACATTTTTAGGATTACCTTAATAGAGTCTAGAATTCTAATCTAGATTTGGATTCTAGAATTAGAGCTGCTAGGTTGAAGAGAATATGCATCTATAATTTTAATAATTTCTTGCCATGTTCTCTGTAGAGACTGTCTTAATATTCTCACCAACATTGAGAGTTCCTGTTTCCCCCAGTCTGTTCAGTAATTTATGAAACCTTTGGATTCTTGTCAGTCTAATAGTTGGAAATGGTTATCTCATTATAATTTTTTATTTTATTATTGTGAAGTCCAGCATCCTTTCATGTGTTTAAGAGCTATAGGTCTTGTCTTTGCTGAAAACTTTATCAAGTGAATTTCGGTGCACAAGCCATAAAAGCTGAATACTGTCTGGTGGCAGGGAAAAAAGATTTTTTTGTTTTGTTTTTTGGCTTTTTTTTTTTAAGATTTTATTTATTTATTTGTCAGAAAGAGAGAGAGAGAAAGCACACAGGCAGAGAGGCGGGCAGAGGCGGAGAGAGAGGCAGGCTCCCTGCTGAGCAGGGAGCCCGATGTAGGGCTCAATCCCAGGATGCTGGGATCATGACCTGAGCCGAAGGCAGTGGCTTAACCCAGTGAGCCACCCAGGCGTCCCAAAAAAAGATCGTTTTTTAGCAAAGTGGGATGGTTCACGTTTTTGCCCCAAGATATTATGATGAAATCCTTCCTACTGAAGTACTTGAAAGACACTGCTGTATTTCCTTTTTGTCCTCAGAAATATATCAGTTCTTCAGTTGGAGAAAATGCACGTAAGTAGCATATGCCATTTGAAGACTCATCATCTGAGACTTGGCTTATAGGAACAAGTTCACCACCATTGTTAGCCTACAGTAGGGATCACAAATATTTTCTCAAGGACAGCTGACTCAATTGGAAGAGCACGTGACTCAATCTCAGGGTCGTGAATTAGAGCCCTACAATGGGTGTAGACATTACTTAAAAACTAAGAAAATGAAAAGACTAAGAAGTAATACAAAATTTTTTTCTGGGGTACCTGGATGGCTCGGTTGGGCAACTGCCTTTGGCTCAGGTCATGATACCAGGGTTCTGGGATCGAGCCCCACATTGGACTCCCTGCTCAGCGGGGAGGCCTGCTTCTCCTCCTTCCTCTCCTTTTGCCTGCCACTCTCCGTGCTTGTGCTCTGTCAAATAAATAAAATCTAGAATCTTAAAAAATAGTAACTTTTTGAAAGAAAATCCAGTACTTTGGGCAAGAGAATAAGAAAACTGAAGGATGCTGTAATAGTAATCATCTCATTGTTGATGATTTATTTCATCATCATTTTAGGTGATTCTATGTTATTATTTCAGTCTTTTTTTTTTTTTTAAGCATAGCTGCAGATAATCGGTGAGTGTATTATCAATTGTTCACCCCAAAATTTAGCACTTCAAAACAGCACATTTATTATCTATAGTTTCTGTTGGTCAGGAATCCAGGAGCAGCTTATTAGCTGGGTAGTTCCCTTGAGATTACAGTCCTCTCGGGTTTTCACTGGGACTGGAGGATCTGCTTCCAGGCTCACTGCTTTTTGTTGGAGACCTGAGGACCTTGCTTTTGGGGGCTCTCCGTATACAGCCTGAGAGTCACAATGTGACAGCTTGATTCCCCAGGGGGAGTGATCCAAAAGAGAGTGAGCAAGACCATACCCATTTTAATAACTTACTTTTTTTTTTTTTTAAGATTTTATTTATTTGTCAGAGACAGGGGGAGAGAGAGTGAGGGAGCACAGGCAGACAGAGAGGCAGGCAGAGACAGAGGGAGAAGCAGGCTCCCCGCCGAGCAAGGAGCTGGATGTGGGACTTGATCCCAGGACGCTGGGATCATGACCTGAGCCGAAGGCAGCCACTTAACCAACTGAGCCACCCAGGCGTCCCTTAATAACTTAGTTTCTGAATGAAACACTGCCCTGCCCTTTTCTGTTCTTTAGAAGTAAGTCCAACCCACTAAAATCAGAGGAGTGGGATAAACAGTCAACTGGAGGGGCCTACCAAGGGCATGCCTACCAGGAGGCAGTTATCACTGGGGCAGTGCTGAAGGCTGGTCACCACAATGAGTTACAGTAGAATACGGAGATGAAGAATAACAAAATATTCAAAGTTAAGGGATAATAAAATCACTAAAATTCTGTATTTTACGTCTATAAAAAAAAATCAATATCATTAGAGCATAATTGCAAGACAGGAGTTTTATCTTTATTATTCTAAGTAAATTTTTTCTGTTCTTTGGCAGACCTCTAGGAAATAGTGAGTCATGAGTCCTTACAAAGAGCTATGAGACCTGCTCAGAAAAGAAACTCAAAACATAGAATAGGACCCAGTGGACCCAGATGATACAGTAGGAATTAATTTCCTCTTTTTGCTCTCCTTACAAGTTTCACAAACTCCTTCTAATCCACTGTTTATCAAAATGGATATCTTAGGACAATGACTTTTTCTCTGGACAGTGCTTTAGTTGTATTTTGTAGATTCTATTATGTAGAATTCTTACCATTTTCTAGATACTCTAAGACTTTGTTTTCAACTCTAGAGATGTATAATGTTTTCATTTCTAGGTAATTAGGTTTAATTACCTGTTGCAGGTGGGTGATGTTGTTTGTATTGTAATCACTGTTGGGGTTTTTTTTCTTTAAGATTTTTACTGGAAAGTAAGAGTACAAGCTGATGGGTGGGGGTTGAGGGGCAGAGGGAGAGGGACAGGCAGACTCTCCTTGCTGAACAGGTATCCTGACACACGGCTTAATCCCAGGACCCCAGGATCTTGACTTGAACCAAAGACACCTGCTTAACCAACTGAGCTGCCCAGGCACTCCGGTTTTTTGTTTTGGGGGCTTTTTTAAAATACATGATTTTATCACTGTTTTGTAATGTTTTTAATTCTGTTAGAACAGATCAAATACCAGTGTTCATTAAAATTTTTTTAGGGGCATCTGGGTGGCTCAGTGGGTTAAGGCTCTACCTTCAGCTCAGGTCATGATCTCAGGGTCCTGGGATAGAACCCCGCATCAGGCTCTATGCTCAGCAGGGATCATGCTTTCCCTCTCTCTCTGCCTACTTGAGATCTCTCTGTCAAATAAATAAAAATCTTTATAAAAAAATACTATTTTTAAAATAGTCTTGCACATTTACTCACGTGAATTTCACAATTTGTGTAATTTATCTTATAAAGATTGAATTTATTATGGCATTAAGTATATTAGCATATTCTAGTTTTATTTCCCTTGATAAGTGTATTGCTTTCCATTTTCTTTTTTTTTTTTTTTTTTTTTTTTGGTGTTTGTTTTTTGTTGTTGTTGTTGTTGTTTTTAGGATTTTATTTGACAGAGAGAGTACAAGCAGGGGAGTGGCAGGCAGAGGGAGAAGCAGACTCCATGCTAAGCAGGGAGCCTGACACAGGGCTCCATCCCAGGACTCTGTGATCATGACCCGAGCCAAAAGCAGACACTTAACCAACTGAGCTACCCAGGCGCCCCATTTCTTTTGATTTTATAAGAAAATAGGCTTTTTAATTGCATACTTATATCTTGATCTTTTTTCCCCAAAAAACAGGTACAGCTATCTCCCGAGGAGAATGGTATTTTGATGCGCCATGGTCAACATGAACAAAATTTCATCTTCATGAACGGTTGGGTGGCATAATCGCCTGCATTTCCCCTTGTTGCACGTGACTCATGCTTAAGCAACCAGCCATGTGTTTCAAGGGAATAATCAGTTTGAATAACTCAGCAGTGGAAATGTAATTAAAAGAAACTCAGTTACATGTAGTAAAGAAAAGTCAATCTGTGAAAATTTCAACTCAGCCCATTTGTATATTATATCTTTCTTAGTATAAAGTATGTTAAGGTTTTATTAATGCCTTTAAAAATAAATGTTAAATTTTTTTAACCTTGACTATAGGAGTAATTTTCTTTAAAATATATATGGTGAGGTAAATCTGTATAAAAATGTAGGAAGAGAACTTCTCAGACTTCGAAAGCAGCAGGGTGAACGCACAGCAGTTGTAAAGCCATGTTGTTGATAATTCAAGTTTAGGAAACAAAGCTTATGTGAATCTGAGTGTCACGGCACTGCACCTAGCCAGTCAGGGACCACGGCTCTGTTCCACTTCTTGGAAGTCATACTGTCATTCTCCTCTCCATACTTTATCTGCCTGCCTGTCTTCTGGCCTCCTTCAGATTTTCCTCATGCACACTGCCTAACGTGGCTGTCCGTGCTTTTGTGCTTTCATCACTGCCTTGCATTACCACCTACTATCCATCTGACTGTATCTCTGTCCATTCAAATTCTCAGGAGAGGTAGAGAATCCTTCTGTTTCATTTGAGTCTAAGGATTGGTATCCATGCACCTGGGATGCTCCCTACCTTTTTAGCTGTGGAAGAAGAGTTAATATAAAAAGCTATTTCTTAAACAAAAAAAAACTATTTCTTGGGGGCACCTGGGTGGCTCAGTGGGTTAAAGCCTCTGCCTTCGGCTCAGGTCATGATCCCAGGGTTCTGGGATCGAGCCCCGCATCGGGCTCTCTGCTCGGCAGGGAGCCTGCTTCCTCCTCTCTCTCTCTGCCTGCCTCTCTGCCTACTAGTGATCTCTGTCAAATAAATTTTAAAAAAAGCTATTTCTTTCAGAAGTTTCGCCTGCACAAACTAAAGGTATGTAACGTATTTGTAGCAGCCCAGTACATGTTTGTGGAGTGTGTACAGGCACCAGATGGTGATAAATGCTGTAGACAGAAATGAAGCAGAGGAAGGGATTGGGCAGGGGTTGCGATTGGAGCGTGGATGCTTTTTTAAAAAGAATGGTCAAGGGGGCACCTGGCTAGCTCGGTTGGGAGACCATGCGACTCTTGCTCTTGGGGTTGTAAGTTCAAGCCCCACGTTGGTTGTAGAGATTATTAAAAAGTGCACCTGAGTGGCTCAGTGGGTTAAGCCTCTGCCTTCAGCTCAGGTCATGATCGAGCCCCACGTCAGGCTATCCGCTCAGCAGGGAGCCTGCTCTCCCCACCCCTCGCCTGTCAAATAAATAAAACCTTTAAAAAATAAATAAAAATTAAAAAAAATAAAAGTAAAAAGAATGGTCAGGGAAGCTGAGGTGACATCTGAGCACAGACGCGAAGGAAATGAGAGCCATTCATGTAAGTAGAGAGAGAACCTCCCTGGCAAAGGAAATGACAAATGCAAAGGCCCTAAGAGTGAATTTGGCAGGTTCAGGGAATGGCAAAGAAACCAGTGTGGCTGGAATGGAAGTGAACGAGGAGGAGAGATTAAAGAGATGGAGGTAAGAGAGGTAGCCAGGGGTCAGGTCACATGTAGGCCACTGTAAGGTCTTTTGCAATTATTTTCATTTGGGATCCATTGAAAGGTTTTGAACCAAAGATACAGCATTATCTGATTTATTGAAACTGTCTTATGACTGTTGTGTTTGTGTTGAAAATAGACAATAAGATTCAAGGGAGGCAGTAGGCTGCTGACTGGTTAAGACCAGTGGTTAGTAGTGGTTGGACCTGAGTGTAATTTTAAAGTAGAGCTCAGCCTTTGCCTATAGATTGATTGCATGTGGAGTGTGAAAGAGAAATCAAAGATGACTTGGGCCTCAGCAAGTAGAACAAAGGTGGAACTTACTGACATGGAGAAGTTGGCATGAAGAGTACTTGAGGGAAAGGAAGGATAGGAGTTGGGTTTAGACAAGTGAAATCTGAGATGAAACTCATAGCTTTTATTAAGAGGAGTTAGATAGGAGTCAGGAGTTCAGAGGAGAGATCTGGGCTAGAGATGAAAATGTAGAAGTTCACATAGACTTGGAATTTCAAGCTGTTCGACAGGACCAGATCTCCAAGCAAGTGCATTTACATGGAGATGTCCGAGAACTCCAGAGTACCCCCAGTGTTTAGACGTCAGATATGAGAAGCAGTAAAGGAGACTGAGGGAACTCAGTGAGTTAGGAATAAACCCAGAAGGGGTGCCCTGGAAGGCAAATGAAGCATTTGAGGAGGGAGTGATGGGCCACATCAGAGTTACTGCTGGGTTAGATGATGTTAACAAGTAAAGTAGAATGAGGTTTGAGACATTGCTCATTGAATTGAGCAATGTTGAGATCACTGGTGACCTTCATAAAAGCTGTTTTGGTGGAATGGAGAAGAGAAAAGCCTTGTGGGAGAGAATGTAAGAACTGAATATTGCACCGTATAAACAACTCTTCCAAGGAATTTTGCATTTCTGAATTTGTTATATTTGTATATCAGTAAAATCGTATATAACTTTGAGGGGTTTTTTGGTAAATCTTAGTTCATTTGTGTACATGTTTTTGAATGTGTCAGTTGTTTACATGAAATTTCTTACTGTGAGTCCTGGTAAAAATCTGAAAAATGCGAAGTTAGAACAAGATGATGTAGGTATTGTTGGATAAGAGGTTGAGGATAGTAGGGGATATTCCTCATGTGGGTAGAGTGGAAGGATTTTGGGAGTTGCAGAGGGTTAAATAGGTGATCAGAAAGGGAGGAGTTTAGAAACAAAAGGGTGGTGAGGGTTGGCCTAGGCGGCCTGTGGCGACAACGTATACTAGAATAAAACAGGACTGTAATCTTACACTCTAAAAATACTTTGTCATGGAAGTATTCCATTGTTCGTGAAGGGCGAGAATTATTTTAGCTTTGAAGGCTAGTCACATATTTTTTAAACCTTTAAAAATGTAAAAAAGAGTCTTAGTTCCAAGCCTATGTAGTTTCAGGCCACACTTTGCTGGCCCCTGCTTTACACTAGACAGCCTTGCTGGCTTTGAAGAGATCATTTACGTGGAGTTCTCTTCATTTTTAAAATACCATTTTTAGGGGTACCTGGGTGGCTCAGTCGTTGAGCGTGTGCCTTCAGCTCAGGTCGTGATCCCAGGGTCCTGTATTTGAGCCCCACATTGGGCTCCCTGCTTGTCAGGAAGCCTGCTTCTCCCTCGCCTACTCTCCCCGCTAGTGTCTTCCCTCTCTTGTTGTGTCTCTCTCTGTCAAAGAAATTTTTTAAATCTTTGATTTAAAACAAAAACAAAAACATTTTTAGGGACACCTGGGTGGCTCCACTGGTTAAGCATCTGCCTTTGACTCAGGTCATCCCCCCATGTTTGCCTCTCCCCCTACTTGTGCTCTTTCGCTGACAAAATCTTCAAAAATTTTCAAAATTCAAATTTTTTAAATTAAAGATTTTTGAAATTTAATAAAATCTTTTTTAAAATTATTTATTTATTTGACATAGAGAGAGAGATCACAAGTAGGAAAAGGAAAAGCAGAGCTGAGCAGAGAGCCCAACGCAGGGCCCGATCCTAGGACCCTGAGATGACGACCTGAGCCAAAGGCAGAGGCTTAACCCACTGAGCAACCCCAGTGCCCCAAAATTTAATAAAATCTTAAATTTTTTTTAAAGAATATATTTTTTTAAGATTTTATTTATTTGACAGAGATCACAAGTAGGCAGAGAGGCAGGCAGAGAGAGAGGAAGGGAAGCAGGCTCCCCACCTAGCAGAGAGCCCGATGTGGGGCTCGATCCCAGGACCCTGGGATCATGACCTGAGCCGAAGGCAGAGGCTTTAACCCACTGAGCTACCCAGGTGCCCCAAAATCTTACTTTTTTTTTTTTTTTAAAGATTTTTATTTATTTATGACACAGAGATAACGAGAGAGGGAACACAAGCACAGGGGAGCTGGAGAGGGAGAAGCAAGGCTCCCTGCTGAGCAGGAAGCCCATATGGGGCTCGATCCCAGGACCCTGGGATCATGACCTGAGCCGAAGGCAGATGCTTAACTGACTGAGCCACCCAGGTGCCCCCAAAATCTTAATTTTTTTAAAAAAATCATTTGTCTCAGTGGGTTAAAGCCTCTGCCTTCGGCCCTGGTCGTGATCCCGGGGTCCTGGGATCGAGCCCCAAATCGGGCTGTCTGCTCATTGGGGAGCCTGCTTCCTCCTCTCTCTCTCTCTCTACCTACTTGTGACCTCTGTCAAATAAATAAATAAAAATCTGTTAAAAAAAAAATCATTTGTCAGCGAGTGAGGGAACACAAGCAGGGCAAGCTGGAGAAGGAGAAGTGGGCTCCCCACTGAGCCGGGAGCCCAACGTGGGGCTCGATCCCAGGATGCCAGGATCATGACCCAAGCTGAAGGCAGACACTTAACCAACTGAGCCACCCAGGTGCCCCTGAAATACCATTTTTAATAGTACAGGCACATGGTAGAGAGTTCACATAGTACAAAAGATACGCAAGAGAAAAGAAGCAAACCCCGCCCATCCCCTAGCTGTCCTGGTCCCCTCCTTAAAATCAACTACTACCCTGTTTCTTGTATATCATGTAAGACGTTTTTGTAACCATGCATGTGCATGTATCCTGTCAGTGACTCGAAAAAAAAAAAAAAACCTAACTAGGTTCTTTTGCTTTATGTCTAAATTATTAAATTTAATAAGTAATAGTTGTATCAGTTACCATGTTGTTGCTTCTCATGTCCAAATCCAGCCTTCACTGCCTTCTCTGCAGTAATGGATCCAGACTCTGTACAAAGACCTGGGCTCTCAGCAGATAAGAGTATAAAGCTCAGTCACTAGAGGGTAGTGGTGGAACACTTCTTTTCCCCTCAAGGCACTTCCAGTCCAGCTTCCACTGTGCCCTTTCTAACAGCTCCCTGCCCAGGTGATTTTTCTAGCGCCGCCTACTGGCAGCACACAGCACCACCACAAGAACGGCGCCCTCTGGTACCCCCAAGGTACGTTCTCAGCAAGCTCACACCTTGGGCTACATTTCCACAGCTTCAACCCACGTCCAGGGCTGTGCCCTCTCCACTGAGTGCTGAATCTTAGAAATTCAGTTTTGTACTTGGTGCTGATACAGTAAGTGTTGAATCAAAAGTCTCCAAGAGCTTTTTTCC